TTTTTTTTTTTTTTTTTGCTGAACCGTATCCCTTTAATCTTGAGGAGGCAAAATTCAGTTTTGTCTTGTGTGGTGGGGGAGGTCTTGATCTGGTCTGTCAAAACATCTGGGAAGTAGATTTTCTTTAGTCCCCTTTGAAATTTTTTATTTCTGTGCAATAAATATATTTTGCTTCATAATAAGCAATAATATATATTTGAGTTTCTTAGGCAGCAAATATTCTGAAAAACAGTAATATGCATACAACATACATTATAGAGATACACTGAACCAATATTTAACAAATACAGAAGCTGCCTCTGGAAGCTCACAACTTGTAGCTGATTTTCTTCATCAAAACACACTATTCTGGGCTATTCAGAGGATTCAAAGTATTCAAAGGAGAGAAGATATCCTTTTAAGTGTAACTAGCTTTAAAGTAAGGTAAAAAGCTATTGCTGTTTCAGTTGTACGTGCTCTTTCAGTCTTATTTTCTCACAACTGCTACCTCTTTTGATTCTGCAGGTGTTAGTCCATCATTGCCATCATTGCCATCTTCTGTAGCTACGTAATGTTTTGAGAGAACATCACTAAAATAAAATGATCCTGTGTCTTTATATTAATGGAATGTTGCTTGTAAAATAAAGTGATCACTAGGTCTTTATATGCTTCATCTCTTCCCATAAGCTGTTTACACACACAATGTACTTTGTTTAAGCTCATAAAGGCCTAATAATGATGGTTTTATTCCCGGGTTTTCTATATCTTCCAAAATTACATGCTTTTACAAACCCCAGTTTGTTTCTTTACAAAACTGTAGCAGATTCTAACATGAAGAACTCGCAAGGGTGATATGTTCATAAGCCTGTTGCATGATTGTTTATTTGTCTTTTATTGTTTCTCAGTAATAGCTTTTATTGACATTTAAAAAATTAAATGTTGAATTGTAATTTCCTTATAATATTATGCTTTCTTAATTGAAAGCATAATAAACGGTGTGTGTGAATTATTTTTGTTTTGTGAATATAGGTCCCTGGAGATTTGAGTCAAACTTCTGAAGATCAGAGTTTGTCAGATTTTGAAATGTAAGTTTTGTAATACACATATTTTTCTCTTCGTACTGTCTTTATGGGAAAGACGAATAAGCAAACAGATTCAGTAATTTGCTCTTACTATATTATTTCCAATAATTCTCAGTTGTGGTGTTCTATTGTTAAAAAGTATGGATATCTGCATGGTCCATGCCCTCGTATAGTTTTTGATAACGTTGAATGCAAGGAGTTTCAATTTATGGAGATTCTCTTGGACTGTTCTGTCAGTGCACTAGGTCTTGGTATCCTAACAAAGCACCAAAAAGTTACTGTTTTCTGTTGCTTGGGGTTTGAGAGATGCTGGTCATAATGTGATGGACTTACTCATTTTTACAGATCAACTCCTAATCAATGCATACAAATAGTACTACTGAAAAATAAACAAACAACCCAGTTGGTCATCCCAGATCATTCTAGAGTGTTGTGATTTGGAGTTTTGCCTTTATTAGTCTGACTAATGAATATAGCTTTTTGTGGATGAGGGGGTGAAAATGTTGCCAATGTCTTTGAATCATAGAAAATCGGAGATGAATTACGAAGAGTGGATGGAAATAGCTTCTCCATAATTGTGCAATGCTCTTCTGCTATTTAATGAGGTCGGGTTTTTGCTGACTTTTGTGGACCAAAATATTGAGTTTGTTGAAATGAATAGTTTTTTGTTTCATGTGTATAATCAAATGTTGTCAAATGTGTACTGTAAAGCAAAACAAATCCCAAAAAACCCACAAAGTGAATTGAGTGTTCTTTTTCAGTTATGGTAATTTTAGGGAACACTTTTAGATACAGCAGGTATAAAATATTCAGGTAGAACTACAGTTTTTCTGATACTCCATTTGAAATGTTAAGTTGCTTTGTTGATTACTTTGATCATTATCTAAATCACTAGAGGTAGTTGCTTTCAATTCTTATACATAAATGTGATTTCCTATTTGAAGTTTTTCTCTCTCCTCCTCAGATCAAATCGTGCTCTTATTAATGTTTGGATTCCCTCAGTCTTTCTGCGTGGAAAAGCTGCTAATGCATTCCATGTTTATCAGGTAAGTGATACATCTTAACACGGATTCTGTGTAAAAGTTTCCGACTGAAATAGCATATTTTAATAATTTAAAGGTCTCAGTATAATTTCATTAGGGGTCAGTTAACAAACAGCAGCAGTAACTTCATATATATTCATCCATAGGATCACGTTGATTATCCAAATAGCGTATTTTTAGGGTTGGCTTTTAATAGTTTAATACTTTAAAAGCATGCTAGTAAGATGACTGCATTGGCCAGGGAGTACAACAAGACAATATTAATCAGTAATGCCTTCTTCAATATGCATGTGAATATTGTGTTTCAGTTTGGGGGATATCAATGGCCAGAAATGTTGCTTGACAGACAGACGTGGCTTACTGAAGTAGCTCACGCAAAACAATTTTGAATGATGCAACAGCCATTGACTAAGTGTCATCAGACATGTTCATAGTGTGTTCAACTTCAGCTGTATATGAATTTTGGGATTTACACTCTAACCTACCTTGTAGTTGAAGCATTGAAATCCTATACTGTTCCTTGAGTTTTGGATTCTCAGTTTCAGAACAATTATACCCTTCATAGATAGAAGGGCAGGGAAAACTTTAAACAGTCTTTGAAATGCTGTCCCAGGCTGTTTGTATTTCTTTATTTGTGGGTTATTAGCAGCTGCAAATTTTTTCCACTTTTGTCAGCCACATATACTTAGCTCTGAACAAGATTTCTGAAGCTTTTTAACATTCTTCTTACTCAGTATGATGATTTTTGTAGAATTTTGAATCATTTATGAAGTGTTGGCAGATAGTTGAAAAATACAGGAAAACACCCACCTTTCAGCCAGTAAAAGACAATGAAAAATTAGACTTTAGCTGATGGAAGGAAAAGCTAACAATGCTAAACAGTTAGTAATTTGTTTAAAAGCATTGAATAATCAATCAAATGTAGGTACACAGGTGTTTGTGGAAGCCTGACTTGTTAACAAGCATGATTATTTTTGTCTTTCTGGCTCTCACATATTTCTCCACTCTGCTGTCACTGGCTGCACGTTCTCAAACCCACACAGCAGTCTGCTAGTGCAGAAATTCTTAGAAACATCAATATCCCACCCTACATCATCTCTGGTACTCTAGTGATGTTTCTGTGACCAGTAGAGGAACTGTGGTTTCTCCTGTATTAACAGAGTTTTTTTACACTGTTTTACTCTTTTCATCCTGCTTTGTCATTTCTTAGGTTTCTTTTGTTCCTGTCACCATGCACCGTTTGTTTTCCACCCCATCTGCCATTTTCTCACCAGTTAGGTCAGCCTGTTGGCAAAGATGATCGTGTCCCACTCTGTCAGGTGGATTTCATCTCTCCCTGATTCATCAGTTCTTGATTCTTAGAGACAGTCCCATGATTGTAAAAGCCAAATCAGGCAGTGGGATCTGCTGTGCCACCAGGTATTGATCCACAGGATCCAACTGCTCCTACACAAGCCCTTTCCCTCCCTGGCAGGATCTAGAAAACCAGCTGGGCCCCAGCTGAAGGATGCACTTCATCCTTGTCCCCAGTGCTGTTTAGTTGCCCTTGATTTGGGAGTCAACTTCTCTGGAATTAAAGTTGCTGCCTATGTGGCTGACCAGCAAAGGGTAATATTAAAGTGTACCCACCAGGTACTATTTAAAAAGCTTTGAGTTTTAAAAGTTCATTTTTACATGTAGACTGTTGATCAAGCAAAAGCTGGAATGTGATGTACCCCAGAATTTTCTTCTTTGTGTTTTTTTGGGTTTTTTTTCCTCCTGAAGTTGCACAGAAATTATTTTGAGTTTCTGGCAGATAACAACAAAATGAGACAATTCCAGAAAAATATTTGGTATCTGAATGATGAGGTCTTTTGTGTCTGCAAAAGTATGACACTTACATTTCTACATTCTGACTTTTTTTATTTTTTTTTTTGAGTTTTATCTGCAGTACAGATTGAAATGAAGGCACCCAGTGAATGTCCCTTTAATTTTTAAGTGCACTTCTGACTGGTTAGGCTTGTCACACTTGTTAATGATGGTGAGAAATGTCATGGAACAGTACTGTCTGTACAGCATTAATTTTCTGTCTTTTTAATGTTACTGATATCTGCTGTTATATGAAAGACAGGAGAATGGGAATAGGACCCAATAGTTTATTTATCTTTTCCTGATAGTCAGGAAATTTTATCTGGATGCAATGGGCACAGTTCCATGTTTGTTTCATATTTATGTGAAGAGTTGAAATAATTTCTAATTATCAAATTGCGGGCATGAATTGTTGCAGTGGGAGACTTATTGCAAAGAAAAGCTCTTGAAAATCTTTTCCGTGTAAGCTGTGAATATGAAGTAAACTTAAACTGTGGCTTTCTCAGATTTGATAGTAACATTATTACTACATAGAGAAGCCATTTTGGTTTTAAAAAAAAAAAAGCTGACAGAAAAAATGTAAAAGGATATGAAAGAAAAGCACTTAAGCACCTATCTGTTTGAAAAAGGGTCATGGAGAATTTGTCTATATTGCAAATAGTTGCATTTTTGTCAAAATTTTAATTTCATTATTTGCTTTTTAAGCTGCATTTTCTTTGGTTGAATGGAAAGAAAGGATGAACCCATGAACACATGAACCAGAAACATAAGGTTGCTATATTCATAAGGTTGCTGTCTAATACGACAAATCTATCTTTTTCTTTTTAAGTAATAAAATGCTTTTCATTAAGGTATATTAGAACTGCATTAAAAAACATTAATTATTTGAAGAATTTAAAGTATTTTTGGATTTACTTGTAGCTTGATATTAAACTTAGTTACGAAAGAGTTCAATGCCTTTCATGCAGTTTGACTGTACATGACTATACAAATGGCATCATGGAAGCCTGGAAAGTGTGCAGAATTGATGTGTACCAGAGATGTTCACCATATTCTTTTTCAGTAGGAGAAATATTGAGATAAACTAAGCTTCCAAATTTATAAGAGGCTCAGGGCTTTATCCAAAATCTGCTGAAGTGAGCAGAGGGTTAGGTGCTGCTCTCAGTTTGCTTTGAGTGTAACTACAGTGACTTGAACAAAATTTAGGGTTTTTTATTGTGCTTTTGCACCCTATTTCTTTTTATCATTGATATGGCATTTTAGCAAATATATTGTGCTGGTACAGAGTGGGTTTTAATAGACTTCATCCATCACTCATCATCAATGGAAAACAAAAGGAAAAAAAGGAGGCAAAATACCATCGCAAGATTCTAAAAGCTTAAAAATTCTAGATTTACAAAAACACAATTTTAAGAATTTTATTAAGTCCTTTTTCTACCATATATATTCATAATGTTGGGGATCCATAGTGTGCAAAATTCTGTTTATTGGTATATGTATTTGAAAAATACATAAATTCTTCTGAATATGCTCTATTCATTATCTGTTCACATGAGCGATTTATGGGACACATGTAACGTGGAAAGTTAGAAGCATCTATCTAGACTAGACATAGGATGCCTGTGGTCCGAGTAGTTTGTCTTTAATTACAGAGCAACACAGAATATCAGAGATTTCCTCTGGTGAACAGTTGTGTATTTGATTAACTTTGTCTTTTAATGTTAAAAAAAAAAAGGCGAGCAAGAATTAGCTGTAGAAGTGACCTAAAACTTCTATAATTCTAATTAAACTTGGATCTTGGTACCTGCTGAGATCTTTCCTTACAGAAGAATACATTAATGGCATTCCTACCAGTTTTTGATCTCAGTAGCAGCAGTATGACTGGGCAGAGTATCTGTCCAGCAAATAACTTTGTTTTCTGCCACTGTATATGTGAAAAAAAGGAATTTTCCTATATAAACATACTCTCTGTAGTGTAGCACTATGATTGCCACGTCTCTGATCAAATATGCAGTCATGTGTTTGCTGAATATATTCTGCATTTTATAGCTACCAGGAAAGCATTAATTTATAAAACTTCAGAATAGCCTCAATAACAGCAGTGTGCATTTATCTTGTTAAATCCCTGCCAAAACACAAGCTCCTGATTACAGGGAATTGGATTCAATGTTGAAATTGTGGAAGAGGATATTTACCAGGCTACCAGTATGTAATGAACAGACAAGGACTGGGAGTGACAATTAGGATAAATGACTGAGCTCATTTCTGAGAGTCCTCTTATTCATAATAAACATTATTTTTGCTGCTTTATCATTTATTTCTCCAATGGCAGAAAATTAAAATGCATGTGTAACTCTTTGTAGCAGCTACATGAGAAATTGTTCATACTGTATCAATGTAAAGGAAAGTAGCAATATTGCAGAATGTTGATACTATTGAGATCATTATCAACATTTTTTGGAGTTCAGATTTCTCTGCAACTACTTGAGAAACCATAACTTGAGATGTAATAACTGACTCTTGTGTGCTGGCTGATTCTGAGAAAGAGATATATAAATATGCTTATAAGTGAGTATTTTCTAGCAGAAACTAAACTATTGCATATGTATCAAGGGACTTGGAAATGACCAATAGAGGGTGGAAAGAATTGCAGAGCACCTAAAATAGTTTGGAAAAGTACGAAACTGTCAGTTTGACAGTATCTGTCATCTTTTTCCCTGGATTTATAAACATTTCTTAAGAATATAAGAATTAGGAGAAATAAATCTAGGTAGCTGTGCCTCTTCAAAATCAATGCCAATTTTGCATTTGTACTTCTTAAACCAGGAGAAAAAATGAATGACCTTAAGTTGCATATCAGGAGGACCTGACCTGGACAGGATAAGAATAGACTCCAGCAGGAGTTTTGTTATGGTGTTTGCTTTCCTTTTTAACTTTTTTTTTTTTTTTTTTAATTTATTGTGTATTTGTAATGGTATTTTGGAGGGCGTTTCAAAGCATTTCTTTCTGTGTCATGTTAATATTTCAGTATGTTTCAGATGTTGTGTTCAAAATCAGTACATCTTCCATCCTTAAAAAACCCCAGATATTATTTTCCAGTGAATATAGAAGGAAAAGTTTCCAGCTACAGTGTACTCGTCACATAGTTTCAAGGA